GCAGACTCAGACCACTAAATTTATTTAGTTAACTAGAGAATACCCATGACAATCTGTATTATTTTATATTTTGTTACTAAAAAGTATGCTATAATGATGGAAATATGTAATATAGAATATATGTTATCATATTCCACGATTACTGCAAATGTACAGAACGGTGTTTGTTGGTCAATTAAGTGTTATCTCTAGGGTTGTGCGTAGCTTACTGACTTGGCAGTGAATGAGTTGTGTTTTGTTCATGGTGTTATAATGCTGGACCACAGTGGGACTGTGGCGGGACACTGTAAAAAAGAGAAGATAAAATACTGCCCTGTTTTACACCCAGTTCACACTGGTAAAATCACACACGCTGTGACGTTAGCATGCATTGAGCGTCGAATAGAAAATAATTGACTAAGCTCTGTTTTCAAACAATTATAGGCAAATGCCAATACTAGTAATCCAAAGGTTGAATAAAATGCTTACAGTATGGTCAAAAATGAATGCGGTGTGTGGATGTTTATAAAACAACAACAACAACAACAACAACAACAACAACAACAACAACAACAACAACAACAACAACAACAACAACAACAACAGCAACAACAACAACAACAACCTAGGTTGTCCGTTACTAGATATTTGATTGTTGATTAAAGTTAGAGTTAATAAATGTGAACGTTAGACAAAAAAAAAACAATCTAATATTAAGTATATTGCCCGTAGCTCGAAGTTCAATTAACTGTTAATTGCCACCACATCGATGTAGATAACACGGCGAAAACTAATTACCGCACTTAATGTACATGTGGCCATGTGGATGTTCAATCAAGTAAATGATTAACATACATCATCTGATAGAGTGAAAATTGTTCACACAGCAAAGAAACATTAAGAACCAAATTATCGAAAAAATACACCAAAACTATTAGATAATATACACAAATTAGCAATTTAAATTAATAACGACGTCAACAAACATCAAATTTACTGTTAGTATTCAACAATTCCTTACTTAGTCAATTCATAGTCGTTTTAAACCTGGCTTTATGCTTAAAAATGTGTTCTTCTTATTTTTGGAATTAAGTTCAATACTTTTGTTTTAAGTTTAAAGTTCAACTTGGAATGAGAGATTTTCTATAGGACGACAATAAAACACTTATTTTTTTTATTCGATTCTACTACACTCTATTCGACCAAACACTGAAAATAAACTATAGAGGGCAGTGTTTCTTAGAACAGGGTCGACATGGAATTGAATTACAGTAAGATACTATCCGCGGTTGGGTGGATTTTGCATCTTATGTTAGGTCCAAAATTTTGAT